TGGATGGATGGATGGATGGATGGATGGATGGATGGATGGATGGATGGATGGATGGATGGATGGATGGAAACCAGCAGATTGCCTTAATCACGAAAGCAGCAGTCATGACACTGAGTTACTGACGCTCTCTCAGCCTATAATATCAGGCTTGGGTGATAAGTCAGGTGATCAATTTCTGCCATAGCTAATGTTCAGTATCATCACTGTGTTGATCTGAAAAAAAAACCAGAAGACCCTACACTTGCAGTAAAATGCTAGGAAGAAATAAACAGATAGATCAACAAGGTAGATTTGGGGATATTATTGTGGCATTTTTTTAAAAAAAAATTGTGAGAGGGGAAGCCTTAACCAGTCTAGTAGAGGGAAGGGCTCATTGTTAAGAGACTCAAAGCCAGCGATGCCTCTAAAGGAGAACCAGTCCAAGGAAATCAGCAGCCCTGAATCCCTGCATGGTATTGATGGACAGGGCACCTGGTCTGACAAAGACTAATGGTGATCTCCTCTGCTCTCTTCTTGTCTGGCCACTTTGGGACCTCTTGCCCTCCTCCTTTTGCCACGAAGGCTCTGGAGTAGATGACCCCGTGGGAGAAGTCTCTGTCCATGTCGAGTTTTTCACCCATCCTGGAACCAGCGAACACAAAGTAACGGTCAAAGGTCAGTGATGATCACCAGACAAAGGCATATCCCAAAGTGGCAGAAAACCACACTACCTGGGGCTTCTAGACCCAATGCATTCTGGGAAGCCACTAAATCTTATTCTACCTTTCTTTTCATTTTTGGGAGTCACATCTGCTGGCTTATTATTATTCTGACATTTTACTTTTATCCCCACTGCCCAGAGTCTTCAGGTTGGGGTGGATTAAAAAATGGAAAATATTGAAATGTTCACATATACAGTAGATGATGGCAAGTCGGAAAAGACGCCATAAACTATGACTTTTAGCTACACTAGAAATACATAGAACCACAGTTTGTCAAGTCTGTATGCATTTGTTATTAGTTATTAGGGAAAGCAGCATATTACAGTCCTGTGTTGATTCATTAGCAATCTGGATTATTCAATTGGTTTATACTGCAGGACTCATTTCTACTTGGGGCTGGGGTTTAGAAATATATACCATCCAGAGTCAAGATGATGTGTGACTAGCCATTTTGTTCTTCTGCTCCCTTTGTGCTTGCAATCTCTATTTTGCCTGTGGCTGCATCCAAAAACACACATTTGTCTTTAGGAACGTTTTTTGTGTAGATATGGAAAAAAACAAAGGCAAATGGAGAAATATATATATATGTCTTAAGTGAGCATGAGAGCAATTGGTTTATTAGATAGAGCTGTCATAAAGATGTATATATAGATATATATGAAGCTTTTTGAATAATGCAAGTGGCGTGCACTATTTAGGATTTAGGCAATATGTAACACTCTAAAAACAGTTGAATAAACAAATGTCAAGGTATTAGACGCATAGCCAATTGTAGTTTAGGAAATCCAACTATTACAGATTGCCAGTTCCCTATTCTTCTGCTCTAATAAATGCCACATGATTTCCTTTGAGGTGAAGTCAAGCCACAGTCCTTTCTCCTCTTTCTCTTTTCTGTCTTAGTGGTGGCTGCCAATGATCTCAAGTGGCAGACATCGGGCATTTTCCGGCCTTTCATTGAAGTCAACATCATTGGGCCACATCTCAGTGACAAGAAAAGGAAATTTGCTACTAAGTCCAAGAACAACAGCTGGTCCCCCAAATACAATGAGAGCATCCAGTTGTGAGTGTTTCTGATTTCCCTGTCTTGTATAGAGGCAACACCGTTTTTTCTCTCTGCAAAATTTGTCCTGGCCTGAGAATTCTATTGGCAAGAAAAGGAACTTGATTTTTTTTAAAAAGGTGGGGGGGAGAATGATCCAGTAAAGTAATTGCATTCTCCTGCAATTAATGACTGTAGTTCTGATGCTAGGAAAGAGCAAAGTGGACTATTAGGACAGTGCGATGCCTTGAATTGGATTTGAAGAGGTGCGTTGTCATTGTCTCATTAAAGCACTTGCATCACCTTCCCAAGATCACATATCTACTGGGAAGGCTTCTACTTCAAATTGAAGCATTATATAGTCATGTG